TTTAATTTGTAATAGAAAAGAACAAAGAAAAAAAAAATAATCTTGAGGTATCGCAAAATTAAGGTTTAAAGTGTTTTTCGATTGTTTTGCTTTGACAAAGTTTATATATAATGCCTTACATGGTGATATTCTGTAATTAATCTGCAGCTGGAAATATGGACTCACGACATCAGTTAGGCGTTCATTACTATTCAATCTCGGCAGGAGCAGGAACAGGAACAGGGCAGATGCGGCACCAACAATCATGTCTGCCTCAACAAGCAGATATATCCTCAGCAGATTCTCAGTCAAGAATATATAGTCATAACATTACTGCCGGAGAACCGGAGCTGCTGAGGCAGCTGCAATTAAGTCAACGTCAACATGAAGATATATCTTCTGCGGATTCTAATTCAAGAAGAAAGATTCACGCTATTGCTGAAGAACGGAAGTTTAGAAAAAGAGAGGCCAATAGAGCACACATAGAGATAGGCGAGGTAATTTGATTGAGGAATAGCTAATTAGCATTTACATCCAACCAAACATAATTTCTGAGTTTTGACATATTGATATAATGGTATTTTTAGGACGATCTGGAAGCACGTCAGGTTGAAATTGAACAATTAAAGCTTGAAAATCAATCCCTAAGACAAGAAAATGCATGGCAGAAAAAGCAATTTGATGATTTGAAGATGAAGTATGAGGCACAACATGTAAGTTTGCTCCTAACTACATAAGCCTAGTTTCCTTGGAGAAACAGAAACTAGGAACTTTTTGGTATTATGTTTGATTTCATATTTCAATTTTGATAATGAATGTGGAAAATTTATATTGTTAGAGTTCCTTTTTTTTTCTTTTTTTAATAGGAAATGGTAATTGCAATTCCATTAACAAATTCAAAATTTGCAGTGTATACCTAGGTCCAATACAAAGCCAAGAATGTACATTTACCATAGTATATTGAATAATATTGTGGCATGATTCAGGTAGCACTGGAGGCTGAAATTAGAGGATTGAAGGACAAGTATATTAAATTACTTGAAAAAAGCAATCCCTTGGTGGAAAATTTCAATCAAGCTAGTGGTTGTGCCAGTGTAAATGGACACCCTCAAAACCCATGCTAGTGTGAGCATTTGGGTTGGCATACTCATTACTTGCAGGTACTCAACCCAATCTTTTGAATACATTGGTTAAGTAATAGTTAGGAATATTGGTCTATGGTAGCATACTAATATAATAACTTATTGCCTCATCCATTGTTCTTGTGTTTCATTAAACATGATAGCATTTTTTCAACCTCTTGTTTGTGTTTGGTTCAAATGAATTTCACAAATTTCCAAATCAACTATTGTGTTTGGATTTAATTAAAAAATTTTATTTTAATTCCATAATCTGAATTTTCCGTTCTTATTTTAGGTTTGATTAAAAATTTTGTAGAATTCATTTGGAATTTTACACTTGTTTGGTTTGATTAGAAAGTATAGATTCAATTCTAAACTTTTAAGATTTTGATAAAATTTGGAAATGAATTCTACATTTTTAAGTAAGTTAAGCACTTGGACTAAAATAAGTAAGTCAAGCATTTAGATTACTAAAATACTTCCCTTTAAAACTCTCAATTTGTTTGTGAAATAGTAACGATATTTTAGGAAAATCTAATATTTAACTCAACTTTATATTTATCCAAACATAAAATCTTATGAAACTCAATTAAATTCTATAATTTTAGCAACCATTTCAAACATAGGAATTCATTTACAAATACACTTCAGTATCTAAAATGAAATGAATTCTATATATTTTCATTTAAATCAAACTCACTCAAAATTTTTAAAACATGAGAATTTACTTACAAATGAATTCACTTGTAAATTCATTGAAAATGAAATGAATTCTAATTCACTTACAAATGCCTCTAAGATTGTTGAGAAGTAGTTACTTCTAACTTCTATCCTTAAAATCTGATTTAGGTATTGTTATGGAATCAAAACCCACCACTGTCACTGAACTTTTGTTGCTTAATATTGTTCAAGGGTTTAATGTTGAAAGAACATCAGTTTGGGTGATGAGGCAGGGTGGGGAGATAGATGAAGGAACATTTGTTGCTTTACTCTGCTATATTGGCATTTCATTATTTATATTTTAATTTTAATTTGTATTGTATAAAAGATAAAACTAGTTCTCTTACGTCTTAGTTTGTGTTTTAAATTTGAAATTTTCTTATTTTGATAGAAGTATGTTTTAATTTGTATTGCCTGCTGCAATTGAACTCAACTCAAAAGGTACGTCTAATGGTTGTAGCTGGTACTTGGCAGATTAGATACCGAGTACAGACCAAAAATTTTCAAGCTTTCAAGTAGACCTTCGGTTTTGTCAAAGTGAATGGCGATGCACCGTTGCTGAAAGAAAGAAACATTGTCAGAATGGTGATGTCTTTTGTGGTGATAGAGGGATGATAGAATACTGCCTCCATGCATAGCTACTTGAAATGTGTTTCAAGATGTAGATGGCTCGTGAGCTAGGGGTTAGCAACCTCCGTGTGGAGTCGGATTCCTTAGAAGCATTAGCTGCGGCTAAGGATTGTGAAGAATGTTTCCTACCATGTGGCACCGTTATTGATGATGTAGTATTTTGCTTCTTTATGTAATTTTTGCAGCTGTAGTAGATCGCTAGATTAGAAGTATTAGGTTTTATTTGACAATATTTCTCACAAACCTTTTCATGCAATATCTTATGTAAAAATTTAATTTTATTATTCTTGATTAATTTTCTTTTATATATTTTTTATTAATTTTTATGAACATTTTATATATTTTTGTTATAATAAAAGGCAAAAAAATCTATAACTAGAGCACGGTACTTTCAAATTTAGTCTTAATGTGCTATTTCATAGGATGACCCAAGTGGAGAGTGCAGTCTTGTATGGAAAAGGGTTTGGTTATGGTTGCCTCCAAGCTTTGTTGTTTTTATTTTTCATTCATGAGAACTTGTATTATTTAATCAACAATGATTTACATCAGTATGCAAAAGACTACATAGCGTTGCAGGTACACTCATAGCCCAGTAGAAAGGGTACATATCCTTGGGACACCAGTTGGCGACCCAATTTGCGACAGAGTTAGCCTTTCTACATACGTAGTTAAATTCACAAAAAGAGAAAGCCTCACACAACTCCCATATAGACAGCACCAAAGGTTTAATTCGCCGAGGCAAAGAAACCATCTTGTTAATGACTCACATGAGCTCCTTGCCGTCTAATTCAAAAATGATTTCTTTTAGGCCATTTCCAGCCGCGCCCAACCTACTGCAACTCGCAATGCAAGAGTTTCAACCATTAAAACAGAACTGACTGACTGTTTAAAGGCAAAGCCATTAACAAGAATGCCCCTACCATTGTGACAGACCACAGCCAGTCCTGCAATACCATTTTCAACTTCCACAACAGCATCAGTATTACATTTAATAATATCTTCCCATGTTGGACTCCATTGTTGTAATTTATCTTCCAATCCATCCTTGAGATGTAGCACTGACAGAATGAGAGGATCTTTACCATTTACTCTACAAAATTCAGCTGCTTGAAACGTGACTTTTTGAACTACCATTGCGGTTGCAACGTGTGGCCTTGAAAAAAACCTCGGTTTCGATTTTCCCAAATATACCAAAACAAACAAGTAATTTCTTCCATTAGATTTGGAAAAACCTTATCTCATTGAGTAGACACAAAACTCCACCAATTAATTAACTATCTCAGAAATAGATGAAATAAAAGGATGAAAGGCTGGTCGAGAGACAAGCCAAGTTCAAGCAGCGTTTGGCAAGTGACAGAAATGGATATGATGATGATAACAACTATGGTGGTGTAAAGTCTCAGAACGAATACCAATGTTGCTGCTCCACACAATGAGTTTTCCATCATTGGGCATATTGGCAAGTGAATAGCATATGTATAATAGACTCATCATCCCTACCACAAAGGCCACAAATGGGGCTCTCCACCACACCCTTATGAAAAAGATTTGCCTTGACAGGCAAAGCATTAGTTATAATTTTCTATAAGAAAATTTAAATCTTGCGGAAACACTCAACTTCTATACTGATTTCAAAAGGAAGGGGAAAGGACTAAGCTCTATTGCTTTGAGTGATATCAATTAATTAAAATGTAATTGAGCAAGGTAACTCGATTTATTTCTTTTTGATTTTAGCAAGACTCCAATTTCTATTGGGGATGACGTGGAAAAAATAGGAGTCTTGAAAGCAAGCAATTGGGAAAAACTAGTATTAAGTCCCTAAACTTCTCTTATTTTGTCACATGAACCCAAGAAAGTAGTAAACCTTTAAACACTTGGATTTGGGCAAATTAGTTTTTGTGTTTATAGCAAAATCACCGTGTAGTTATATAAGTTAAACAATTTCTCTTGCATGGCAATTCAATTTCATTTACATGTTTATGTAGCATGAGATTAAGTTATTTAATTCTTAATTTTAAGAATTATGAATTATATGCCGCATATATTTAAGTGTAAAGGAACTATCAAATCAACATCTAAGTGTAAAATGTTGTCATGTAAGCCAAAAAAACATGCAATTGTTTAACTTACGTAATGACATGTGATTCTGCTGTGAACACAAAGACAAATTTGTTCAAATTTAGGCATTTAGGGGCTTACATACAACTTTTTTTCTTTGTGAACTTATATAAGAAAATGAGAAAAATCTAGGAGCTTGACCCCTCTCACTCCTCTTATTCCCCTCTGCCCTAAAACGAAAACCAGAAAGTCTATTCGGGCATGGATGTTATCACACAAATAATGCTTATTGCCACATCTGATATTTACGCCGGCCGGTTTGTTTTTGGCTTTGTTTTACAATGTTTCTCAAAAATTTTTACCATTTTTATGCATCACTTTATTTAAAAATATAAATTTA